ACACACCCAGGTGGCAAAGCGCAGCAGAACAGCTCTTTTCCTAAAGCGTCTGGCCCAGTGACTGAAAGGAGGGCAATGATTTGGCAGGTTAACCCAGCAGCAGGAATGGGGACCCCCCTGGGCCAGTGGAGTGGAGGATGCACCCAGAGTGCATGCTGTAACGGACAGCAGCCACTGCAGAAAGCAGGCAGGCCACTGGCCACAGAGAGGCAGAGCAAACCACACCAGCTGGAGGTCGTCCCAGAGCTGAGAGCACCAGGCAATGAGGAGCTGGAAGCAGCAAGATGGTGGAGACCCAGGCAGTGGTCAGCATAAGGAAAGTGTGGGAGCAGATTTCCATGGCAGGAGTAGACTCAGGGGAGCAGTGTCCCTGTTACTGGCACTGGAGTACACATTTTGAGCTGGAGCACAGGGATAAGGTAAGGAAGAGGAAGGAAAGGGCACCGAATTTGATGGGCAGTCCACTAACCCAGGTGCTTTAGGTATGTGATCTTACTTAATCCCCCAAGCAACTGTGCAAGCTAGGTATTATCCCCACTGTACAGGAGAGAAAACTGAGGTTCAAAGAGACTATCTTGTTTTGCCATCTTCATACAGGTAACATATGGGATTGTCAGAATTTGAACTCAGGATAGGCTGACTTCACAAATACAATGCTGCTACATTCACACTGTCATTTGTCATCATTATGGTTATTAAATGCCAAATCTTTGAGAACACAGCTCCCAGTGCATATTTCTCCTCAGGTCACCTGTTTTGTCCCTTTAATTTATATTGTGCTACAAATTAGAGACTTTTTTCAAGAGTCTAAATTCACTTCCAGTGGCTAAGGGACTGGGCATAGAGTCAGACCTATCTGGGAATGGTGTCTGGAGGCAGCCGAGAGGAGAGCAGGGTGCTGGGCTAACAAGCCAGACCTCAGCTGCTGAGGGTCCCCGGAAGATAGAGGTGTGCCAAAAGCAGAGACCAAAATGTGGAGAATGGAGCCAGGGTGCCTTTGGAGCCAGGCTGGATGCAGAAAATCTAACTCCTCCAATGAACTTTCCTCAGCATCCACAGGCACACGGTGGAGACAGACGGCTCTAACAGGGGACCAGTTTCAGTCCTAAGAAACTGGGAGAGAGATATGGAAACAGAATTTTGGGAATAAATATTTATTATGATTCTCTTGGTTTTAAAATGTATCCTTCATGCCCTGGCCAGTGTGGCTCAGTTGGTTGGAGCATTGTCCCATGCACCAAAAGGTTGCAGGTTCAATTCCCGTTCAAGACACATACCTAGCCCTGGCCAGTTTGGCTCAGCGGTTAGAGCATCGGCCTGTGGTCCGGAGAGACCCGGGTTCGGTTCCCGCTAAGGGCACGTGCTTCGGTTGCAGTTTGTACCCGGCCCTGGTTGGTCGTGCGGGTGGCAGCCACTCAATGTGTCCCTTCACGTCGATGTTTCTCTCTCTCTCTCCCTTCCTTTCTCTCCCTCCTACTCTATCTGTACAAAAAATGGAAAAATGTCCTCGGGTGAGGATAAAAAAAAAAAAAAAAAAAAAAAGACACATACCTAGGTTGTGGATTTCATCCCCAGCCAGGGCTTGCATAAGGAAGACAACCAATCAATTCTTCTCCCTTCCCTTTCCTACCCTCCCCTCCCCTCCCCTCCCCTCCCCTCCCCTCCCCTTCCAATTTACCTCCTAAATTGTATCCTTATAACAAAAAAATGTATATAGTTATATAATATATATATTTTTAAATAAAGAGTGGTCAGGCATGTATCCTTTCCAATTTTGTTCATCATCAATACTGGAAGGTTCAGGCAACATAATTTGTTAAATTAAGGTCTGAGTCTTATTTGGTATTTCAGAGCACCACCTGGTGGATTCATTGACAATAACAGTCCAGAACAAAAGTGAATCTTAACATTGGTTTTCAAAGAACTGGTAATGGAATCCTATGCTCATCCCTTCTCTTTTCTTTCCCTCCCTTTAGTTCTCCCTTATTCTTTCCCCTTTTCTCCCTCTTTTCTTTCCCTATCCAGTTACTCCTCTCCTGCCTTTGTTTATACCTCCAAGTTGTCCAGGCCACCCAGTGCTGCTGAGTCCTCAGAGTGGCTAAGGAACATGCTTATTCCTGCCTCATTTAATAAAACCTAGGCTGTTTCTAAAAATCAACTATAAAGACAAATACTATTTTTGAAGTTTCAAATTTTAATTTTCTTCCAGAGATTGTTGTTTTTTTGCCCAGGGACAGGCTTGCAGATGGCCACCTGCATCTCTCTGTGTGCTCACTGGGCCTTTCCTCTGCGCATGCGCGTGGGTGGAGCTAGACTGCACCGTGACCTCCTGGTGTCTTTTCTTATTAGGACACTAGTCTTATCAGATCAGGGCCCCACCCTTATGGCTTCATTCAACTTTAATTACTTCCTAAGAGATCCCTATCATCTCTGAATTCAGCCCCAGGGTGAGGGCCCGGGGAAGTCGGTTAGGGCTTCGACATAGGAATTTGCAACGGGACACAAACATTCATCCAATAACAAAGAAACTCCACTGCATTTCTTTACCATTTTCTGAATGCTTCTTGAAACTAAAATACATCGCCTTTTAAAAAGTGTAAGTTTGGCCCGTCGGGTGTGGCTCAGTGGTTGAGCGTCAACCCATGCAACAAGAGGTCACCAGTTCGATTCCTGGTCAAAGCATGTGCCCAGATTGTGGGCCTGATCCCCAGTAGGGGGCGTGCAGGAGGCAGCCAATTAATGTTCTCTCACATCGATGTTTCTATATCTCTCTCCCTCTCCTTTCCTCTCTCTCTAAAATCAATAAAGAAAAAAACTGTTTTTTTGTTTGTTTGTTTGTTTAAATGAGTTTTTATTTATTTATTTATTTATTTTTTTATAACCTCACCCGAGGACATTTTTCCATTTTTTTGTTCAGATAGAGCGGGAGGGAGAGAGAGGAAGAGAGAGAGAGAGAAACATCGATGTGAAGGGACACATCGAGTGGCTGCCACCCGCACGACCAACCAGGGCCGGGGACAAACTGCAACCGAGGCACGTGCCCTTAGCGGGAACCGAACCCAGGTCTCTCAGTACCGCAGGCCGACGCTCCAACCGCTGCGCCAAACCAGCCAGGGCAAAAAAACTGTTTTAAATAACATTGAAATTAAAAGTATAAGTTTAAATGTTTTATTTTTTTTTATCTTAGCCAAATTATCTTAAGCTCCTTTTCCCTGACCTACAGTCCTTTTCTACTCTAATAAGCACACCTTGTGTTTATTTTTATATATTTGGTAGTCTTTCATAATGTTTCAACTTAGTGTCTGAAATGACTCTTCCTTTATTGTTAAATAATTTCCAGGTTTCAACCTTCCATGGAACTTCAAGACATTCCTTATAACGTAAGCACTAGCTAGAGCTTCTTCTCAGAATTCGCTTTAGAACTCTGAGACGTCATCAATTTATAATTCTTACTAGGAGACTGGGCTTAACAGCACTCACACCTCTCAATTTTATCTTTGTTCTTAAGGACATGAGGCACCTGACTAAACAAATCTTGTTATAAAGAATAATAACTTGTAATATTTTCAGCTATTATGTTTTTTAAAATGGAATCCCTTTCATTTCCTTTTTGAAAGAATACTGTGAAATGCCCTCAGGTACTGGACATTGGGCAATGGTCCTGCCCCTCCCAATGACCGCTGCACACCCTAAAGCCACGTTTGTTCTTTGGCTACAGCCCACGAGTGGACAGCTGACCCAAGGCTAGACTGGCCTAATTGGATTTTTTCAGTAGGAATTTGGAAGAGGGACATAGAAAGCCTCCAGCAGTAAGACATAGATGCTGGATTAGAAGTCTTGCCAGCCAAGGGCACCATTGGTGGGCAACTTGGATGAATTATGCCCAAAACAGCAAAGAAAGCCAGTCCTCAGCAAGCGAGAAGAAGGAAGCAGGTGCAGAGAGCAAAGCGAAGACAAGAGGCCGCACAGCCTAGAAAGACTTGCTCCACAGTTTCCAGTTCTCATTCTCCTGAGCCTTCGCTGTATGTAAGCGGATATCCAGTGAAATCAGCTCTTCACGGTTTTAAAATCTAGTATATTAATAGAAAATCTGAGGTATAGTGAGGCCAATAGATCAGGAGACATAAATGAGCTATCAGAATACTGCTGTAACAAAACCAAAAATAAATGAAATAAAAAAATCAATTGAGCTGCTTTTAAGCTTTATGGCTCTCAGCTTCTTGGTAATTATTCCCCTTGTTTTTAAAAATGTTTCCGCTTCTTGGCTTACAGTCTAGTTTTATTCATGCACTTATTCTTAGGTAATTAATATATGACTGGTCTGATATCAGCTGTGGTAAATACATGAATCATATGTAAATTAAAAGCATGAAGATATATTTGCCTCATCTGATGCATTTGTGTTATAAAATCGTAAAATGAACAGTCTTCTGAAGTACACACATGTGAACATGTGCAAACACACACACTATGCTACTGGTTTCTGACAGATGACTGCAGTGCCTGATTTGGTTGCATTTCAGGAATAGACAGGACAGTGGAAGAGAACAGTGATTCAGAAACAGATGCAAACTCATAGGTATTGTACGACTGTTACTACTTCACCTACACGGATCATTCATTCAACGACTGGTTGTTTAACAATTGAATATGTATTAGGTCTCAGGCACTATGCTAGGTATCATGATAGAAACAAAGATTTAAAACATTTTTCTTATTTAATTTACAACATGGAGGAATGCACTATTGTGTCCAATTCATAGATGAACATTTGAGGCCAGAGAGGTATATTAACTTGCCCAACACATAATTCATTAGTGATAACATTGGGATTCAGATCAGATCTATATGCTTTCAAGGTCCACGTACTTTTCAACACACCCTGCTGGCTTTCACCGCTGTAGACATTTATAGGAGATCACTCTGAATTTCACATAAAAATATCAAATATTAATGACTTTCCTCTAAAACTGTAAAAATTACATACAGAAAATACATACCTTAGAAAGCTGCATGTTTCTTGACATTGTTCTTGTACTCTCTGTGCAAGGATACAGTAAAAGTCCTAATAACAAAGTAAAAAATAATGAATTCCTCTCTCCACATATGTACATATATAAAATACATACTCATATGAAAGATTATATACCCACATGTATATGAAGCAACCTTGGAAAGTCATTCACTCTATCTTTCCGCTGGTCAAGTCACATGATATAAATATATATAGTTTTTTTTAAATCCTATACACCTCTGATTTACTAAATTAGATTTGTTTAAAAACAGTTATTTATGCCCTGGCCGGTTTGGTTCAGCGGTTAGAGCATCGACCTGCGGTCCAGAAAGACCCGGGTTCAGTTCCCACTAAGGGCACTTACCCCAGTTGCAGTTTGTCCCCCGCCCTGTCTGGGCCATGCAGGTGGCAGCCACTCGATGTGTTCCTTTCATGTCAATGTTTCTCTCTCTTTCTCTCCCTCCCACTCTATCTGAACAAACAATGGAAAAAAATAAAGATAGTTATTTCATGAAATAAATTTCAATGGCAGATATATATATATATCTATATATAGATATATATAGATATATATATATATATTTTTATCCTCACCCGAGGACATTTTTCTATTTTTTGTACAGATAGAGTAGGAGGGAGAGAGAGGAAGAGAGAGAGAGAGAGAGAGAGAGAGAGAGAGAGAGAAACATCGACGTGAAAGGGACACATAGAGTGGCTGCCACCCACACAACTCAAACAGGGCCCAGGACAAACTGCAACCAAGGTACATGCCCTTAGCGGGAACCAAACCTAGGTCTCTCTGGACCGCAGGACAATGCTCTAACCGCTGAGCCAAACTGGCCAGGGCCAATGGCAGTAATATTTTTAAAGCATTCTTATTTTCACTTACAAGCATGCTAGTTTCAGGAATCCTTAATTTTTAAAAAACTTTTTCAGTAGAGTTTTTTCTTAATTTTTAGATTACATGATTTTTATTATATAAACTGTGGTGGTATTATTAACTATTCTATTAGTATTATTAAATATTCTATTTCATAGATGATGTTTTTCAACAAATTACATAATACTACATAAAAGATAATGGGGTACAGATGTATAAAGTGATTTTTTAAAGGCAATATTCAGTTTGACCATAATATAAACACTAATATAAAACTGAATGTGTGTACTTAAGGTGAAGAAAAGGTAAAAATAAACACATTATATCACATTTTCTGCACACTAGAATGTGAATATGCCAGTTAAAATCTGAACTCCTTCTAAAGGTCAAACCACAAGATATAGAGAAAAAGAAAAGGTACCACAATGAGCAAAAAGGCAGCTTTCTCTCTGTTTAATCTGAAACCGGGGATTTTTTCCCTAAGTGTTTCGATCTTGGTTATTGATAATACCATTACCTTTCACAACACAGGACTAATTTCCAGAAACATCCTAAGACTTCCAGGGTTTAACTTTGTTTCAGTTGGGCTTGGCTAGGCTATTCTGCAGTATCAAACAGCCTGAAAACTTAGTTTAAAACAGTATTTTATTTCTCACTCATGTGCATATCCATCCTGGGTCAGCAATGGGCTTTGCCTGCTCACATAAGTTACCAGAAGCCTAAGTGACAGGGGCTCCATCCTGACAAAAACAGAGGCAGGGAAGACAGAACCTAGAGATCCCTGTACTGGTTCTTCAAGCTTCTGCCCAGAAATGCACCCAACGCTACTTATATGTTAGGGCCAAAGCAAACCACAGGACCAAGCCTAGTATCAACAGGACAGGGATGAATACTTCTTCCACAGGGAGAGACAGTCTTTCAGAAGCCATAAAAGTACCCTACACCTAGGACTACAGTTTACAAAATAGACACATCTGCATCATCTCACTTAATCCTGTTAACAGTGCGAGACGGGTGGTGCTGCAGGGCATTTCCGTAGAACTCACTCACCGTGCTAACTGCTTCTGCTGCTTCTGGTCTTCCACACCAGCCAGCCAGACTCACAGCAAAGGGAGGGACAAGTCCTACCAAAGCCCCTTCCAAGCCGCTGTCACGCCCACCAGCTTCATCACCCTAGCCCAGCCTTCAGAGGGCTGCCAATCCCTTGTACTCTCTTCCGGTCCAGGACTGGAGTGGGTGGATCCAGAGAGGAGATGACTAGCAGGACAGGGCTATAGTGAGACAGAAGCCTGGCTATCTGATCTGCGGCCATGGAGCTATGCAAGAGTACGGCCCTGGATAGTGATAGAAATGTTACATAAGGAGAGGCAGGTCCCTGCCCCAGGTGAACCCTGAAAGGATAAATGCTAATAAGTAACACGAGCTTCCTAGTTGATAAAACTCAGCCAGGCTTTCAGGGAGGTTAGGGCCCTTTGATCTCCAACAGGGGCACGGGTGGCTTCAGATTGTTCCTGACCCTGATGTCACTGGTGCTCCCTGCTTCTGCCACAGCCGTAGGTAAATTGGGAAGGTCAAAGGAGCTCATGTATAAAGCATTTCTTAGAGCGCATGACCTGTGGAAAGCCCTGGATTTTGTAGCTACTCTTTTGTTAATCACGATTAGGAGGAGGAGGTGCTTCACACTGTGCGGGCCACACTCCCTGGGGCCTGCGACCCCTGAGCCCTGCTGGAAAGTCTCCCCTTTGCTCCATCAGGAGAGGGGTTCTTGCACATGCTCCCTAAGCCAGCAGGCTAAGGAAGCAGCATGTCTGCTCCCCCAGGTCCCAAACCCTCTCCTTTCATTCTCTCAGAAGCAAAAAGTACAATGCCTTCAATTCCCTCTCCACGGTCCCCTTTCGTCCATGAACCTGGGCTGAAGTGCCTCCTGGGCCAACCCCTGACCCCAGATGCGCACTTTGTATCTGACCTTCCCTCTTTGCCAACCCTGGCCCTCTGGAGTCTCAGAACACTCCACAAGATGCCTGGGGTGCGTGAGGCAGATGGACACCCAACTGACCACTGATCTGTTGTAATGTGAATAAAGAAAAACAAAATTAGCTTACAAATGCTTAGATATAACATCTGTTAAATTAAACTCACAAAATCCAAGTCATCTCAACTCCCAATTCCAAAGGTCCATTAAACTTGTTTTCTCCTCATAGTGTTCTGCCCCCTGCCCATTATTCCTATCGAACAACGTACAGCTAATTAATTTGCCTGTCATCTTTTGGCAGGTTTCACAGTATTAGAGGAAAAGAAAAGTGTTTTATTGATTCGATGGTGAATCTGAAAGGCTTTCGGATCTATCCTAAAGTCAGTGCATGCTCTAATGATCAACAAAAAATAAAATAAAGGGCCAAAAAATGAAGAAAGAAAAATAATAGCTGTCACGTCACTGGAATAGTCTGGGGAGCACATTTTAGTGCTAAAACTACCAGTAAATTTATAGCATAGTGTAATGTAGTGTAACTAGTCCTCGAGTGGAAAGGAATTTGTTGTGTTCAAGGAACAGAGAGAGGGCCCATCCAGCCACAATGTCGTGGGTAAGGAGGTACCCGGTGTGAGACGTCAGAGAGTGGTGTGGCAAATTAAATGAGCAGCCCCGAGCTCTGGCGAGCTCTTACTCTCTCTCTCTCTCCCACACGCACACACACCTCCATGGCCTTTGACATGCCATTTTGTATTCTTCTCACAAAAGAAGACGTCTATTTCCCCACTCCTGGACTTGGCTTTGCCATGAACTTTTCTTTGGTCAATGAGATGTCAGCAGATGTGACACAACAGCTGTGCGCAAACCCTCGGGCATGCCCTCCGTGCTCTCCCACGGCCTGGCGGTGCCTGGTCCGAGGAGCAAGCGGGACACCTGGAGCAGAATGGCCCCAGGCCCACGCGGCCTCCATCGGGCAGCCCCAGCCGCCCTGCCGGCACGGGAGTAAGCCAGCCGACCAGCAGATCCAGGGGGAAAGGAGTTGTGTTAAGCCAGGATTTTTAGGTGGCGTGATCCTCGGTATCACTGTGGCACTATCTAACCAACACCGATCTTTGTACGCCAGAATAAGCGCATGGGTTGTATTCCTGGGACAGGTTTTCAGAGTCCAGAGACATTATCTGATTTACAGCATGTATGTTATCATGAAACCATCGCAGCCATCGGACCCGAGAGGCTTGGACCAGAGACAGGGTTAAAAGCGAAGAGAGGTGGATGGACTCAAAGCAGCTTTGTTGTTTAGAGGAGCAGAGAAATGAAGTAGCAGTGGGGGCTGAGACCTGTGAAGGGAAGGGAAGGTTTTGTTGGTCTGTTCAGGAAATAAAATTACTAGACCATGTCTGCAAGCTGAAGGGACGGGTCCGGGAGAGGGAGAGGCTGGCTGTGTAGGCGCAGGCACCCAACCACGACCCTCACTGGGAGCCTCACCCTGTCCTGAGCAGGTCACTGAATCCACTCCTGTAATCTGCATACCCACTCTGGGAGGTAGATTGCGTTAACAGCCACCTTTCACAGACGGCAGCTGAGGCATAGAGAAGTTACATCTTTCCTGAGCCCGTGCACCCAGGCGGCGACAGCGGAGATCCACACTCAGGCGGTCTGACTCCAGGGCATGAGCACTTGGCCATCAAACCATGGGGAGCCATGTCCCCAAGCAGTGAGAGGCGACGGGACCAGGACACAGGAAGGAGGCTGATGTTCAATACACTGAGGAATGCTTCACTCAGAAACGAGTGAAATGGAGACTGTGGTTACAGGTGTGAGGGAACAGTGAGAACACGAGGAGAGGGCTCCTGCTCTACTGCTTATCTTTATTACACACGAGGCAAGATCATCAGACCGACACAAGGGAGAGGAAGAGTTTAGGAGAGAGAAAAAAGATATACCGTAGTCACTTTGGGGAAGGGTAAACTAATATATTATGGAGATCAAGTAGAGTTATGGTATAGTGACCTTGAACTTAAAGAGAAGCTAGCAGCTAGCATGCTTGAGTGTTGTTTCTCCACAATATTAGCTGTTCAGGCTCAGGTGTAAGGGAGGAAAGGTGGGACCAACAAATTAAGGTTCAAACGAATCTGAAGGACTGCAGGATTTGAAGGAATACTGGAAGCACGGAAGATACTGGCCAAGAGATCAATGCTTAAA